TAAATGACACTAATGCTCCTAAATGAAGCTGATTCCTTATGTAAGGTTCCAGCCCAGTTTTTACCATGTGAAACATCACCATGTTTGCATCTTCCAAAAATAAATTATTTCAAGATACCTCATATGTGACAAATACTATATCATTGTCAAAATAACTTTAAATATGCTTTTTTCATAAATGAGGCCTCACTAAAAACTCTTTACACTTACTGTCATTTCTGAAACGACTGTTTTTCTTCAAAGGTCATCAGCATGGTTTATTCTTAAAGAACTAATACCATTTGAATAAATAAAAAGTAGAATTGTAATATGTATGTTCTTAGAATGAATCCTGGAACTGCTTGTGCTAAGGTTAAAAAATAATTGTATAATGAGATATTGATTATGAAAAACATGATGGTGTTTGAAAGTCAAACAGCAAAAGCCAACAAAGGAGCATTTCTTCAGGTGAGGCTTCATAGGATTTTTCTCTGCTTCATAGGTTGTCATGTGTACTTTGAAAATACAAAAATTAAAAGATGCACCACAGCTGCTTCAGAAAAAAACTAAGCGTGGGCCTTCAGCCACTGAATGGCTATTCATAACATGAAATACGAATATTGCCAACATCAGAGAATGAAGTATTTTACCTTATTAATAAGCAAATTGGAGGAATTATGAAGTCTGGTAAATGGTAGAGCAGACGGGCTGAGCTTGTTTATTACCGTTCTTGTTAAAGCTTTACATTCTGATTTCTGTATTACAAACTTTTCTGCATTTCAGTGGATAAACCTAAGTCTGACTTTTCCTCATACAGGTATAAATCTCACAGATTTGCTGTCTGCACAGGAGACGTTTTTCTGGCCCTCACCTCCAGTCTTACAATGGTTTGGGGTGAGGCTGGGAGGGCAAGCAAACCCCCCCCAGTTCCAGCACCCTGTAGTGCCATGCAGGCCAGAGAGGTGCTGCTGATGCTCTGTGGGGACTGACCGTGTCCGAGAGCAGGGCTGGGGTTGTGATTTACATAGATTTTCAGTGCAGGAGCATGCGGTAGCAATCCTGACCTGAAGAATGTTTTACAGGGAGGGGTTGGTGTTCCACATGTCAGCCAACCTGAGTCAGCCCAGGCCTGTGCTGTGCCGCTCCGTGCTGCTTGTGCAGCCTGGCAGTCAGGGATATCCCTCAGCCACAGCATCAGTTTAGCTGGTAGGTTATCAGAGCGGAGCCTGCAGGCTTGGGACTGGTGGTGACACCACTCGGGTGTCCTTGCCTTTCTCTCGAAGTGCAACAGTAACTTCTCATGCGAACATCCTTTTTGTCTGACAGTAAAAGCGATGAATGGAGTTGTTCTAAGAAAATCTTGCAGTAGCTTAAATGACCAAAATGGGGTAACCCTTGCAGGGATGGGATCTGCATAGTTTGTTGCATCCTGATCATACACCTGTTTGATGCTGCACAGCTTGGGGTTCCCAGCATCTGAAGGGACATAAAATTGGCTATACTATCCTTTTTCTTTATAGCATTAGCTCTAATAAATTGCATTTTAAATGAGACTTTACAAAGTTTGAGCCCCCTTCTCACTGGGTTGATAACAAGCCAGCACCTCCTGGTGCAAAACACGTGTGTTTTGGAAATTTGGTTTTGGTTCTGTCAGTAAGGCAAGAGTAATGTCCTACCATTAAGTGAGAAGGTCACTGAGCCAGCCAAAAGAGCACTTCTTTCAGATAGATAGTTTGTATTTTAATTACAGTTCTCAAATTATTAACCTCCTTTTGTAAAGGATAGTTTTAGAACTCTGAGCACCAGTTTTTACTGAGAGCCTACATTGAAGGTCTAAATTTTGTGACCAGAGCTTTTAATTTAAAACGTAGTACTGATAATTTGCAATTTTGACAATACTGCTTTTGGCAGTTCCTTCAAAAAGAATGGGATATAATCATACCCCATAACTGCACAGGTTACCAAACGTCAGAGCCAAGAAAATGCTTCTGATTTGTAACTTCAAATAAGGTGGCACATAAAATGCCCAGACGGGGAATGTGCGTCCTGGTAGATTTTCTTCCTGGCTTTTCAGCAATGTGACAACCGCTGAACAGTGATTTCACTGGCCTCCACAATGGAATGACTGTAGGTCTTAAGTTGTATATAATAGTCATAGCTCGTTAAGGAAACTGTTGGATATTGTATGTGCTTGGTGTACAGGAATAAGGTGTATATGTACATTTAGCCAACAGGATTATGTATAAAAGGACATTTTCCATGAATCTGCACGCCGACTTCTTTCAGGGAGGGTAACAGCAATGCTTAGGAAACCAAAGAATTTTAACAGCATCTTAATTAAGAGGGATTCTCCTCAGGCCTAGTACAAAATAAGGAACATAGAAGCACATATGGGAAGGGAGCTGTGGTTCATTCTTAAAGAGGTTGCTTGTTGCTGTACTGCCGCGATTGAGAGATGGGACAGAGCTTGATGCAAGCAGGATGTCAGTCATATTATGATTCTTCACATACTTTTATACTAGTTCCTAGATGACGTGTTACAAACTATTTGGTTTCTTCAGAACATGCCAAGGACCGATTGGCTTACACTCCACACTGCATTCACAGACTGGCTAATGCCAAAGGCATCTTTCTAAGCACCCGCTTTATCTACAACAATCTATCTTGAACAGAGACAATAGTTCCTCTTTTACCGGGTGATTGTTTTTTACAGCCTCACCCACCCATGATTCTTATGTAAATATCGAGCCGGCACTCTGTTTCTTCTAAACAAAGTCCTTCCCAAGGCCTGTGGCCGACAAGTTCCATCACGTCTCCTTCTATCAATTGTGCAGTGCTGGGGGTTTTGCTGAGAGCAGCCAAACCCTGCTCCACACTGTACGTGTCAATCCTAACTACTTCTGTCTCTATAAAACACTCTGGAAGGGACATTTTTTTCCTTCTGCAGTACAGTGGGTTTGGGTGCCCTCATTTTCTCTGCCACTGACCAGCTGGCATGACTGCTCTCCTGGAAGTGTCCCCTCCCTTGAAACCTAGTGTCTGTTTTAAATGTTTGTATTCCAGCTCACCCAGGCAACATATCCATAATTCATACTAGTTCTCATGCTTTCACAGCAGCAATTTTGTGCAGATTTTTTTCCCCACTGGATGATTTTACCAATGAGCAAACTAAGATGACAGAAAAATGTCTCTCTGAAGTCCTAAGCAGTTGGCTAGCAAACAGGCTTGTGCTCTCTCCCTCCACCACCCTGTCATTTCTGATAGTCTGTGTGCATAGGGGTAGGGGGAACATGAGAAAGATACAAGAATGATTTACTTTCAGAGAAGCAAGCTGAAACCAGGTACATTTTTTTCCACTTCAAGTCCATCTTTCATGCTTATCCTTATGATAAGCACCCGCCTACCACTTTCCCACTGATGTGTCTTCCTGCCATCTTCACCCTGTTGCAGTCTGCACGTGCTCTGCCCTTCCTCCCTGTCCCATCCCATACAGCATCTTCCGTGGCTTCCTTGACTTTCCCCACTGTTATAGGTAGATTAAGGTCAATCACATCCAAATATGGATTAATGAATCTTTATTAAGGTAAGAGAGCAAATGCAGCGCTGGGGTGGCCGAGGAGTCGCAGCTCCGTCCAGGCTCACCAAATTGTTTAAGTTTCAAACCCCCTTTTATCCACACAGCTGCCGGTTTCAACACCTTCAGCACGCCTCCTGGTTCCTTCTACAATCTTATCTTCTTTCTTCAGTCCTGTGGTCACGTACACCTTGTCCTTCAAGTCTGGGCCAATTTGCAGCTCCTTTGTCTTTTATGGCTCAGTGGTTTCAGCTCCTCTCTTATCTCAAGGACAAGGGATACCAGAGATGGCCCATTCTGTTCTTTCTCATTCCATTGCAAAGGAGTTACCAACCTTTGATATGGACCATCTGGTGAGCATCCCAAGGAGGGGGGGCTGTTGGGTTGGTGTTTCCTCAGATCAGTTCCCCCCTTTTCTTTTCCCAGTAGTAGAGTCTTTTACTTTTCTTAAAATTTGGATCATTGTACTAATAATAGCTTTAGCCTAAGAAGCAATTGTTTAATTACTTTTAGCGAAAGCAAAATTCTTCTATTACTTATCACACCCACTGAGTGAGGAGATGTGTATACTGCTCCTTCTCCAGAAAGGCATCTTCAGGCAAGGTGTTGGAAGTTCAGGAGATGTGCCCTGGCAGCAGTGGGAAGAGAGACAGTATGACAGGTTGAACGGAGTTGTGTGCCCCCCTGCTTTAGAATGAGAAAGTCTGAGACTGAGGAGGCAGCATCTCACCCGCTAATAAATTCCCATTGCTCTAACTTCTGGCTTTTTCCATTGCGTGAGAGTTGCAGGGGGAGTGGTGAAGACATCTCTGAGAGTGCAGTTGATGAAAGGAAACTTTTTCATTAGTTCTGAAGGCTGCCTGGATAGGAAATGAGACTGCATTTGCAAATGGAAAAGGGCATGCAAAGTTTTTCTTTTTAATGTATGATAATGCATAATGCTGGTAGGGGTTGGTTTGTTTGTTTGGTTTTTAAAAAAAAGAGAGAAAAGGGAGAGGGGAAGGGAAAGGGAAAGAGGGAAAGGGAAAAGTAAAAAGAAAAGAAAAAAAGACAAGAAAAAGGAAAATAAAATTTAAAAAAAATTTTTTAAAAGCAAAAGAAAAAAAAAGAAAAAGGAAAAGAAAAATGAAAACAAAAGAAAAATGAAAAAAAAGAAAAGAAAAAAGTGAAAAAATAGAAAAGAAAAAATAAAAAGGAAAAAAGAAAAAAGGAAAGGGAAAATTATTGAAAGGAGAATGGTTCTGGTGAAAGAGATTTGTGTAAACTTTTCCTTGACTGGTAAAAACACTTCCGTAAATGAAAAATATTCTTTTGTTGCTAAACGCTGCACTGTCATTGGAACTGTGATTAGAGTTAGCCACTAGACACCTTGTAGCTCTTGAAATCTTTGAATGGCTTGAACTTGTTGAAATAGCATTGTGCGTTAAGTGTCCTTTACATTACTTGCTGAGATCCTGACTAAGGAAAAAAAAAAAAAAAAAAAAAAACCTGGCTATGGTACTATGCGTCTCAGTGCATGAAGATAATTAAATCAAATCTTGCTACATTGCTTGGGTGTACCGGTATGTCATTTTTTTGAAACTTGCGATGTTACTGTTCTAATGCCAGTAGAGAAACACAGCTTGTATCTTGGAAAGCTATTCAGTTTGCAAGAGCATTATTTTGCAGTAGATTTGCTTCTTAGCTAGAAAGTATTTCTTTCATCTTCTCTGACTCTGTGAGCCGTGGTCAGAGAGGTGTGGGGGGGTGGCTGTAAATTCATGGCAGTTGAGGTGCAGTATTGGGTGTAGTGGCTGAAGGGGCTGGGCACTAGTGGGTAACGCAGAATCCTGAGTGACATATAGTCCTTGCAGTTGGCGAGGACCTGCCGGTCCAGTCCATAGCCAGTAAGGTTGTCAAATTACTGGTGCAGAATACAGCACAGCCTGGCTACAGAAACCAGCCTGCTTGGTGTTCAGGCCAGCCTCCAAGAAATATCAGCGTTCGCTTGTTTTTTACACACTGAGTCAGCTACAAAATTTTCGGGTATGTTACATGAGGTACGTGGAGAACAGAGAGACACCCACTCTGACGTAAAGTGCTTTGTCTTGGGCATCCTCCAAATGAAGTGAGACCCGTAGGGTACCCTGGTCATAGAGCTGGCTGTCAGTGCTCCCAAACACTCCCCTGGGACAGGGAACATGGCTTTCAGAGAAGCCTGGGTTAACAGAAAGGTGAATATTGTTCAGAAAAATTGCTAACTCTGAATATATATATTTTTTTTTGGTATCTTTTCTTCTGGCGGAACAGCTGGGATGCCACACCATTTCTCTTAGTGTCTGTTAAAGCATAACCCGCTAAAAAACATGTTGTGTTTTGTGCGGGTCACTAAGGAAACAGTTTATCTGGGTAATAACTTGATTGATAGGTTTCATAAATAATTGTGGCACTCATCCTGGAGTAATTGCCTGGTCAATTAGAAATAAACAGCAATGGTAAGCAGATAATTTATTAAAATCAGGTTTTTTCCTCTGCTGTTACCTGAAACATACCTGCCTTTTGAAGCACTGTCAATGGCTTGATAGCTTCAGCTCAGATTAGTCCTGTTCCACTGGCATAATAAGCCACTAACTGAATTGTGACCAAGTCTTCCAAAGCATAAGCCTGTGTTACATCGTGACTCAGAGACCCGGGACCTTTGCAGACTTTTCTCCCAGTAGGATTGCAGGGAGTGTGACAGCAAGGTAAGAGCTGTCAGGGGCTACTGGAAGTACAGTTTACAATGATGGGGTACACAGAGCTTTCCACAACCTGGTTTTGGAAGGGCAATGATTGACTGGGAAACAGAAGCTAATACTAAACGTCTGAAAGAACTCCCACTGAAGATGATGCATGTAACAAGGAGAGTTGGGAGTTTTAAATGTGATACAGAATTGCAAAATATGTAACAGAGCTGACATAAAAGCTAGCATAATGAAGCAGTGTGTTCTTGTGTTTTCTTTCTTCTCCAAGACAAACCCCCTCAATTTTTACTTTCTGTGCTCTTATTCTTGAGAGCAACTTTTTCCAACAGGCCAGTGCTCCAGCAAGTTCAATAGTCCTAATGTATTTCCTCTACTAGACAGTGAAAAAAACACCAATTCCAGCATAAAGATAAGCATTTATTTTATTAAAGTTATCGTTTTTAGTGAATCAAGCTATAATGCAGTTTCAACTACTGAACAAGCTTAAATAAAAGCGACTTTTATTTTATTTTAATCTACTGGGAAAGCTGTTTAAAAGTTCTGAAATGAAGCCTTATCGTTAAAATAGCACCAGGAATATTTAGCCATCCTGCTGAGACACTGAAGGCTACTACTAGTCTTCCAACTAAAAATCATGTGCCTGATCCCAGCCTCTGGAAATACTTAGTGTGTTCTGTTCTGCATCAGCAACATACATATAGAACAAAGCTTAACAAACTATTTGCAGTCAACAGCTTGAGCCAACTGGCATATACATTCATTTATTAGCCAGAGGGTGTCAATTCATGGATCACTGTAGTCTAGTGGTTAAGATTGCTACAACAATGTTAGGTAGTCACCTGCACATCTGCAGAGGATTTGAGATGGCTGTGTACATGTTTCCTGTATGGATGGTAGTGGGTACATAACAGGAACTTCTACAAGGAACTAAATTGATATATTGCAGTCCAAAAAAGAAAAAAAAAAAAAATAATAGAGCTACAGTAACACACACCAGATGAACACAGGCATTGTCACTGGCCCTGTTCTCCAGTAAGATTCAAAGTGTACACATCAATTAACTGGCCTTGCCTCACCCTGGTAAACCAACGCACAGACCCATTCTGCCACCTCTCTTGTAAACTGAGTTAAAAAAGCAAATCCATCTTAAGTGGTGACAGACTAGAGAGATGCAACAAGACTGTACCATTATCACAGACTAGTTGCACCTGAGAGATCAATAAAGGCCAGCTTGCAGTCTGCCTCACAGACTTTGTAGGATAAATTTCTCCTTATCAGTCTGAGTGTGAGGGTATTAAAGAAATGGATTACTGACACACTCTTCCACCCACCTGTCAGAAATTATTTTCCTGGGTAACATATATGTCTGACAGAAGTTCTCTACGGACAACTACACAGAAACCAGCTCAAAGTATGGTTTCCCTGACAATGCCAATAAGACCGTGAGGCCATTTATCCTTTGCTCTTTGGATGCTCTTCTGCCAGCTGATCTTCACGTATGGTGAAAGTACTCAGGTCACCACAGCTGTCCAGGTGCAGCAATTCAGAATGCAGTCTGAAAGGTGACACAGGGACACGCAATAGCATTGCTTGCTGAGCAGGTGCCATTCCCTTTGAAAGGAAAAAAAAAAAAAAAAAAAGACAAAACCCAAAAAATAAATCAGAATTGTTTTCAGGCTCTTGTTCCATCTTGTTTAATTCTTACCCAACTAGGAAGAAGCTAGTTGTAGTGCCATCTGTTATTTTAAAGAATAATTAAAAATCTGAGACTAAAACTGCTATTTGTCAAGGAAGCATGGGAAAAGCAATCCCAACTGGGAAAAGGAGTGAGTGTTGGCTTGGTTTTGCTTTGTTTTTTTTTAAAGCTGCACAAGAATTAGCTCACTCTAAACTGTGTCATGTCAAGTTTTCTTAACAAGAACCTAAGTGTTGCTTCCTGCAGAAGCCACCGGACTGTAATAACCTTCAGTCCAGTGTGATAAATTCTCATAATGAGGGTTTTTTTCAGCTGTTTTTGTGAAATTTTCTGAGGCTTTTGTTGCCTGTAGGCTGCAGAGCCTAAACTACAATCTTTGATGTATTTTGTGTGAGAATTCAAACCAAAACCAGTTGTCGCAGCAAATCACATGTACCGTACATCAATCAACTCATCTACCCAAATGGTCCGTAAGCTACTAATGTTTGATGAAGTCTGTAATATCTGAAACTTCTGAATATTCACTTCACTAATGTAAGCACATGTTTTTTCTAGCGTCTGCTTTTTTTCCTTTGGTATTAGGTCTTACTTTTATTGTGGGAGCCAATCACCAAAAGTTGCTTCTGGTGGGTTTACATAAAAATTTCCTCATCAGCCTCCATTCCTTCCCAGTTTACAATAGTAAATGCTTTGTAACATCTTTTCCCTCTCCTCTGCCACACCCAGTATTGAACAGTGTCATGTTATTTACGGTTCATGATTCTACCACAGAAGACCATCTCTTTCAGCTTTTAAATACACACATATTCAGTCTTCTGAAAGCCTTCCTGGCTGTGTGGTTGATAGAGCAAGAGATATCACAGCTGCACAGCCTCTCACACACTCCCTAAATAAAACTAAAGTAGTGAAGGAAGGTAATTGGATTCAAAACCTTCAACACACAAAGCAGAGTGGCAAATGTAAACCTGTATTCCCAAACCAAAGCCAGGGGGTTTCCACTTCACCTGACAAATACAAGTAATAAAACTACTTGCTCAAGGGAGAGAGCCCTGGTGATGGTTTCTGCTGTAAGTTTTTCATACGATTTTAAAGCATATGGGGTATTGTGCACCAATCCGTATATGTCATGGTTGATGCTGCAGAAGGACTGCTCTATGATTCATACCAAAAGCTGGTTAGCATCAGTCTGGGATCTTCCCCTCAAATCTCCTGCACTCAAACTCTTCTGCAAGGTGGCAGCAACAAGTTGTGGGTTTCCTTCAGCCTGCATTGCAGCTTCACAGCCGAGCACTACCCCTGCAGACAAAGATCAAATAATCCACATGGTTCACAGTACTGTTGTTCAACAAGTATCCCCTGAGATTTCAATCCTGATTCAGATGATGACACAGTGTGAAGTTTAACCACTTAAGACTTAACAGTCTGGCATTGTCAGTGCAACATGCAAGGCTCACTCTGTGTTGGATTTACACCAGAGAAAATGCCTGTAAAATAGAGTCATACATAGCTATGGTTGAGTGCATATCACATGTCAAAAGGTCTGGAGAGACATTTCTGTGAAGGCTATTTGACATTTTGTGTACATCGGTTCTTTTCTCTTTTGTTTCTGTTCTGAACTGACCCAAAACGAGCTGTAAGTGTTAATGTTAATGGATAGTTTATCAAAGCAGGTTAAGCACAGCTTGAAGGCTTTAATGACTTCTCCTAAACTCTTTGTAACTCAGTTATTACCAGTCAAGAGGGCTAGAAAATATCTGAAAATATTTGCTTGTCAAGCTGGAAGCTAGTAATACTAGAGAGTGGAAATTTAATGGGAAAAAAACAAACCAAACCAAACCAACCAACCAACCAACCAACCAAACATTCAAAATTACTTTGCAAGGACTAAACAAGGGGCAAGTGGAAATCAATTTCACTGCCTTTTGTCCAAATCAAAATCCCCTGCCTTTGGTCTAAAAAATAATAATCGATTTTTGGCCCTGTTAAATAATTAAGAGCACCTTCAGGTTGTTCAAGAAGCACTTTAATGTTAGCTTTGCACCAAATAATACCAGGAGGACATACAAAGCTTTCCAGCAAGAAGAGCACTAACTTCAAAACACTTCCATTGCTCTATTGCAGCTGAGTTCCCTTTCTGCACCACTTCTGTATTTAACCCTCAGGTCCAGTGCTGAACACACATAACCTCAGTTACACCGAGTGTAAAACACCCAAAAGCTTCTGACTGATGGAGTCTCTCTACAGCAGAAACACTCTGCTCTACTTTCACAGCTATGAACAGGCTCTGTCATGTAACTATTGCTTCAGCAGCAGATTCTCTGAGGTGCTGTGGTGGAAATTCATAGAAGGAAAAGAGAAAACACATGCTGTAGCAGAAACATAAAAACTTTCCACAAAACAGGAATTGTAATCCAGATAGGCATGCTCCAAATATTCAAAATAAATGGTTGTTACTAACATGCCCCCTCCCCACTTATATTTTGTGAGTGATAATACGTATCAGCAGCTACTATGGAGATTCTGAGATCCTAATAAAAACTACAAGACTCATGGATAGTGGATTTTTAAGACTGTCACCAGAATTAAGAACTCTGCAGTCATACTGACAGCTTTCCCACAGCAACTGAATTGGATCACAGACCCAAAGTAGCTGCAACAAACTTCATTGGATCTCCACCGTAGGGTCTTTTGTGTTGAGTTTTGGGGTTTTTTTGATCATATGAGGAGTGAGAACATGGATGCAAATTTATAGGCTAATACCAAATACCCAAACTAATTCTGCTTTAAATCGCTCACATTGACAACTCCCCTTGCAAGCTTTTAGATGCCAGTGTATGAATACACAGAGAAATTCTATGTGTGCCTTCTTCCATCTTCCACCATCCCTCTCTCCTCCCCAAACTAGCAATGACCCTGTACCTGGACATGAAAACCTAAAGAGCAGCAATATGAAGGTGTTGGGTAGAGAAGATTTGGCAAAGCACAACCTGCTGTAATGGAGGTAATCTGTTGGGAAAGAGTAGCTGATTTCTGCAGGTACTAGGTTCAAGGTTCTAACCCTCTGACAAGTGTTTTTTTAAGGACTCATTGTATAAGCACTGATAGAGAAAATCAAGTCACCTTGAATCAATGACTGCTGCAGCACAAGGTCACTTTCAGACCTTTTCTGCCTGGGACTGGAGTCACTCCTGTTCTCTCCTTCTGCAAGCACCAGGTCTGAATTTGAAGTTGAAAGGCTCTCTCTGCTGGAAGACTCAGGAATTCCTTCACCTGAGTGATCAGGAATAGTGAAAGTGAAGATAAAATATAGCCCCCTCCCCTGCCACCAAAAACCCCACCATTCACTCAAACCCAGGACATCATCATAAAGCAGATCTGTAGAATCCACTTTCAGATATTATTATTGATGTTTTTGTGCACCCCACACCCCCCTGCAAATCTGTACTGATTGGACACAAAAGTCTAGAGGTGCATGTATGTGTGCATATACCCATACTCACCAGTAACTCTGGTCCAAAACCTGCTTAAACACTTGCAGAAACCTGTTCAGCCTTATGAAACCAAAGTGGCAAAAAAAAAAAAAAAAAATACAGATTTCCCTAGTATAAACCTCACCTTAAACTCCTGATCAGAGAGAAGAGAGCTACAGCTTTCTTGCAGAGAAAATGAGAGCTCAGAGCCTGAAATTTGCCTGTGTATAAGCACTTGTACCAAGATTATGACAGCATATGGTCACAGAGGTCAGTCACTGTTTGCAATAAGGCAGCTCGCCAATCAGTCACCAGTCCCTATAAGGGAATTAAAAATCTTATCCTGAATTCTTGTGATATGTTTCATCTTTTCAATTAATCAACGTTCCTCCTTTTCCTTATCATGAAATTACATGCTGTGATTACCACAACTGCCTTTTAGCAAACAGGACAGGATGAAGCTGTATTTCTTACCAAGCCTGGCTCTGTACCTCCATTTGATAGCACCTGGCATATTACTGAAAACAATGTTCTTGCTTGTACCAGAGGGGGGAGGAAAAAAAACAAACAAACAAATAAACAAACAAACAAACAAAAAAACTTAAAAGTCTTTGATTCAGAACATGGATGGCAAATGTTTGTGCTGCCACTCTAACAGAAATGTGCCAATTACAAGAGCATTAGAGAAAATAAAGGTGTGAATGACACATACTTCTTGAGTGTAGCACCTTATCTCCTACAGAAATGCTACCTAGAATCTCTAAAGAGAAGAAAGTGACACAACCTATGTAAAGGAGATACCAGTCTGTGAAGTCAGGAGGTAAGACCCAGCAACAAATCATGGCAGACCAAGAATCAGGAAGCATTAAAGAATCCATCACCAATATAAACTTTTTAAAACCAGCGGAGTTGTGTTAGCAGTCAGTTCTTGATGTACATTGCTGCTGGTACTCTGGAGAAGTTGTTTGGTTTTTTGTTTTTTTTTTTTTTTTTTAATTACTAAATAGATGACTGAACCAATTCCATGATTTTATGACAATTCTTCATAATACTAATGTTTCGGGTGTCAGAGAGATAGATGGCTTAAGCTGGTGTGTACTGGAAACTCATATATCTATGCTGCCAAGTATAGCCAGCCTTCAGAGGAAGGTTGCACATGTTCCTACTGCAGGGAAAGTCCCATTTGGCTTGACAGGAGTGCTTCTGAAGTCAGTAAAGTCATTTTAGCAGGCACAGAGAGGATTACAGCTCCTCCTGCAGCTGGCAGCCAGGACTCCCCTGGGTCTGCTGGCAGAGAGTCATGCATTGCTTTAACTTCCATCAGAAGCCACACTTTGTCGATCAGTCCCGATGATGCCAAGTGAATCATGGCATCATACAGAAATGCCCTGGCACAACAGACTACTGGCATAAACCAAAAGTTCAGCTTTTATAGATTTTTCAGACTTATAGATTGTTACTCTACGTCATCCGAGACAGCCCATGGAGTTACTCTGCCACAACTCCAACATATACCCTCATTTTGCACTTCCCTCCTGCTGTGGTTTAACCTCAGTAGGCTGCTCAGCCCCACACAGCTGCTCGTTCACTCCCCCCCCCGGCAAGATGGGGAGAAGAATTGGAAGGGCAAAATTGAGAGAACTCCCTCAGAGTGTCTTTACTCTGCATAATCTTGTGTTGTGAACATTGTACAGATAGGCAGATAGCCATCTGTTGCACAAATGAAAATCTGCCCCATAATGGCAAGTTCAGATGAAAAATAGACCATATTTTCACCAGGACTGTCCTAGAAAAACTGCCTGTGACTCAGCTAAAAGTCAATAAGTTCCAACCTAGGAGCAAGTATAAACCACAACAAAGATTAGGTCAAGAACAACTTGGATCCATTTCCACAGTTTTCTAAATTAATGCGGAGCAAAGCTTGGTGTGGCCTCTATGTGTAGTCTAGCTACATCCCGTACCAGTATACAGAAACTATCTAGTGATTTTTCTGGTGCAGGCTGAAAAATAGAGTCATTCCAACATTTAGATCAACACAGTACAGCATTATTTTATCCTCTCCCTATTTTTGTCATCAACAAAATGTTAACAGGCACCATCATATATTCAAAATAAATGGAAGCACTAGAGCTGGACATAATTTCTTACAATGTATGGACACAGAGTGAACAACTAACTTGTAGATTACAAAGAAGGAAATATATTTTTCTTTTCATAACTTAAGAGCAAACCACTTTTTGTATACTTTAAATATTAATACATGTTCCTACCACTCAAAACAATCACAGTTCTGTATCTTGAGATTGCAATATGGTGGTTGTCTTTCAAAGAGACAATAATGCTGCTGCTACATTAAGTCATCTGGGTTGTGTAGAACTGCCCTTGAACAAATTTTAAAATTTACTTTTTACCTTGACTGTCTTGCCAGTCACTCACTTCATCTGAATCAACATCGTCCACATTTCCCCATAGTTCATCTTCCTGGAATAAAATAGAAAAGTCAAAAAATCACAAACCACCATCTTTTTTCTGGTACTTGCTAAGAAATGCCACATCTGCCTTAGAAGTGAACACTTTTGCTTAACTGCACAGTCACTATGTCATATGTGTTTAATCACACTGCAAAACCAAGACTAGTGAATGTCTAAAATTAATGTTCATCATGCAGGTCAGACAATTTTATCCTGCTGAATATTTTCTGGGAAAAAAAGCACCTGTCTTCTGAAAATACCAGTGAAAAAGAATCAGTGATCATGTCAAAACCCTGACCTAGTCCTAAATGGGAGGAGTACAGGTACAGAAGCGGAGTAAAGCAATGAGGCAGCACAGGGGTCCTCTAGAATAACCAGCAACAGTTGGGCTTCACGGTGTATTTTTGCTCCTTCTCCCATGCCCATACAGTTTTTTTCCCAGCTAGGGAAAACTTTTCAACTCTAAAGGTAAGTGATTAATTAAAATCTTCAGTGAAATTTACAGTAATCCACACTTGTAACCAAATATATTCTCCTATTACTCTGAAATGAGAAGATACCTGATTTATGTTTACTATGCCTCAGTGCAACCTTACTTTTACAGCAGAAAAAGCAGTTACACTTTAAATTCCTGTGGGCTGTACCTGCACAGAGCTGTTCCGACAAGGAGGATGTGGGTCCACAGGGTAGAACACTTCAGTGCCTTCTATTGATCTTTCACAAATAGGGGTCAATTGAGTCTCTTCACAGCCAGACATCCTGCAACAAACAACACCAAGAGACCCCATCAGTACAGATTTCCAGATGCATAAAAATATCATCTGCTACCAAACTGCACTGGCTTTCCTATGCCAGCTCAGATTTTGGCATCTGTCACAGCTAATGGACTTGCCAAGAGCTGCAAGAGATTTTCCCAGAAGATGGCAGGAAATTTCTCCTTAGGTGAAACACCTAAAACACCTACCCAGTATGTTCACCAGAGCTTCAAATGCCTTTGGGCAGTACTGCACCTAGGAACCCACTGCCGTTTTACTTCACAGATTCAGTTTTGTTTCAAAAGATTCAAATACAGGAGGTCACTCAAAATGCAACAGCCTATAACTGAAATTCAAGATATTTCTAATCTCCTGGTTTATGTTTCAATACAGCCTCACAGGAAAAGGTAAACTCAAACTAAAGGCTGTTTTTGTGATGATGCTTAAGAACATTATAGCCAATCAATTCATGAAGGCTTATATGAGGCAAATGTACATCATGGTTAACCTTACTTCTCAGTTTTCAAAGAGCTCCCTGAAACCTTAAATACAGCAGAAATCCCAAAGATCTTCGGCTGTATCATCTTCCTCTTAGGAGGTAGCTCTGAGAGGGAAGAAATCAGAACAGCACCTGGAGAAGATCTTGCTGGAAAATGCCAATTTTGATAACATAAGTTTACATTACCCCATTAACACTGGAAGAAAGTGTGGTGGTCAACAGCAGAGCTGCCAAGGCAACCTTCCCCACACAATCTTCAGAGAAGTCTGTGACCCAAAGAAACTATTTTTTTCTGTGGTTTTTATTACATTTTAAATTCCTGGTTTGGGACTGAGTAGGAACCCCAAGCAACATACAGAAGACCATGTGTTTGGCTCTCTGGACCCATGTCAGGCTTACAGCTATCACTAGTGGATGCAATCTCTCTACAAAAAAATGTTACACAATAGGAAGTCCTTCTTCCCCGACTTCAGGGCTTCTCTGGACACTGGCTGGAGGAAGCAAAGATGACTGAAAATTATTTTCTTGCAAGATGAGAGGAAAGAGCAAGGTGAATGGAAATGCCTACAGAAGGCTGCTTAGAGAGAAAGAATAAAACTTCCAAGAGAACTGGGGAGCACTTTTGCAAAGGGCTTCCATCAAAATAATGGATATAATGCATGGAAAGATTTGAGGAAAAAAAAAATATTTTGATAACTAGTCATTGAATTTTTAATCTTAATGGGTGATATATAGCATGCTAAAATAGTTTTTAATTTTACCCTGTTTCATCTGCCCCTGACAGCTTCAGAATAATTTTGGGGCACGGTGGAGTTTGATGATTCATTGATATTACTACTACATATTTTTCCAGTATGCTCATGCTAAGATTATGTTCAGTGTAGGCTACAAAATTATATATTTCTTGAACCTTAGTTTTGTCTTTAAACATGCCTGAGCTGGCATACCCAGCTCAGTCACACCTTGAAAATTAATGTTGCATCCAAGAGTTAAAACTTATTGCAGAACACACAACTAGAAAAGCATTCCTTCAAGTCCCTTAATATGAAAGTCATTTCCAGGCTGTGCACATTTCTTAAAAATCTGTTATTTATTTCTTATTTTCCACTCTTTTTTTTTATGTAAGCAAGGTGGATTCTTGTGCTTTCTTTCCAGTAGGTGAAGACATCCTCCATTGCCCACTCTCACTCCTCCTCCATCCCGCAGCCACCACTGCGGAGAATTCCACCCTACATCAGGTGCGAACCCTGCCTGACAGCTCACACCTCAGTACTGGATAAAGCTAGTGACTACCCAGCCCTGTCAGTACAATCAAAATGTACCCTTCAGTCAGCCCTAATTGCCAAAGAGAGAGAAGGGGAATCCCTCTGTCAGAAAGGTCTGCAGGGGGCCAGACTACTGTTCGGGGATCAATCCTCACATGAGCCTTGCCAAGAGGTTGCACCTGGCTTTCCATCACTGTCCTGACCTGCTTCTGACAGCATCATAAAAGTTTTCAGCAGTGTCAAATTGCTGTATGTCGTGGTTTGAGCCTGGTCGGCAACCAACCCCCACAGCTGGTCACCCACCTTCCCCCTCCCCACCTGGGAATGGGGGAGGGGATTAGAGGGGTGAAGGGAGACTTGCAGGCTGAGATAAGAACAGTTTAATAGTGGCAATGAAACGAGAACAATAATGATGATAGGGGGAAAACAAAAAGAAATATATAAACAGGCAATGTACAGCGTAATTGCTTACCACCCGCTGACCAATCCCCAGCCCGTTCCCGGCCAGCGACCCCGAGATACCAAGATCCCACAGTCGCAATCCCAGGAGAGAGAGAGAGAGAGAGCCCCTTCCCGACCACCCCTCCTCTCTACAGTGAGCACGATGTCCCATGATATGGAATATTTCACTGGCCAGTTTGGGTTTGGTGCTGGGGCCGTGCTCCCTCCCTGCTCCCTGTGCCCTTGCACACGGGCAGGACATGGGGAGTCGGGGAGGCCTTGAAGTCTCGGTAGCAGCTGAAAACATCAGTGTGCTATCAGCATTCTTCTCATAGCAAACCCAAAGCTAAATCCAAAACACAGCACTCATCTAGTCCCTGAAAAGGAATATTAACTCTATTTCAGCCCAAACCAGGACACGGTATTTTTCTTACCCAGAAACAGTTCCTACAGAATAAAGAGTGAAAACCATAAAGTGATACCTCTCACCAACACTGTATTTATGCTGCCTCCTAACTCAACAGGTTCTTTTTTTTTTTTTTTCTCTAAAGTCACCAGTTAATAACAGAGAAAATGGCCTTTAAAAACAACAAAGATTATGCAGTGTTTTCAAAGACACTAAAAGGAAGGGAGATAGTGTAGATGTTTACCTGCTATGTGTGCTTGAAGTACAATTTTCAAAATAGGAGGGGGGTGGCACAGGTGGGACAAAATAATCAGGATCCAAAACATGAGCTTGGTTTTCAAACTGAGATACAACCTTAATCAAATGAAACTTCTGTTAGAAACCTTCTCACATATAAAAAAATGCTGAATGGTGTAATCTAGTAATACTGTTAGTATCATTAGGCAATATTGTTAGTATAGCAGGCAACACCTTGCAGTCACTTACTATGGAGGACTCCATTGGTGAAAAAAACTGTATGCAATGCAGGACAGTCACCAACAAGCAAACCATGGTGGAGAGAGCATTCAGGAAGCAAAGAACAAAGAGTGTTTTCTGAAGAACATGAAGGTAATGGAAATTAAAATATTAAATCAAAGTATTTTAAAATGTCAAAATAATAATAATTTGAAAATTAACCAAAGACAAACACAGAAAACACAACGATGACGATGACAATTACTTCTTAGAATCATATGTGATGACGTCTTCAGGACAGGTAATCTCCAAGATTGGAGTAATTTGCAAAAGCTTGTTTTGCCTATTGTGTGTCTCGACAGAGACATCCAGAAGGGTTTATTACCTCCTAGATGTGATTTATAGTCCATCTATTCATCCAGGAATTATAACCTTCCTCTTAACTTTTCTGTGGAAAATTCAGATCTGAGATCATTACCATTGAAGAAATGTTAAAGCACCTTTATATTTGAAGATGATGCTATTTGGAAGTTGTATTTTAGCATTTGTAAGCCATGAATAGCTGAAAAGATCAAAAAAACAGTGAAGGCATCAAATCATTAGCTGAAATTTACACCATATTTATCCATGCAATCTCGTCTGAATTTAGTTGTAGTTTTGGTTGCATAGAACACAGAAAGGACAAGAACTGCATATTGGATCAGCAAAACACTGGTCAAAACCCAGAGATGAGTTGAAAAAAAACCTGGTAGAGAACCACAAGGAGCTTCTGACCAGTATGGAAGAATAACAGAATTTTTCACAGTAAACACAGCAGTCACCTCAGCACTGCACTGTCACACGAGTGTGAACATTAATTATCAAAGCAGTTATGTTAAGCAGCATACACTGGGTACCTTGAGAAAAAGTTGAGCAGTACTGCATGACTTCATGTGGTACAGCTTCAGCCCACTCTCTTCTGTGCACTCAGTGAGCTGAGATTCTTCACAGCAGACACAAATCTTCCTTTTATCTATTTGCACCTTTAAAAACCACAAAACCTCACGCTTTCAATTTATTAGCTGTTTTATGCAACATTTTTACCTGTATAATATAGACCCTATGTGTTAAACTATACTTCTGACTGAAAAGTGGGCTGGAAATATAGGCTCATAAAATGAGCCTTATACAGTTTAGTACGCCAATGATCCATGCATTATAAAGCTATACTACAAATACTTGTTATTCGAAAGCTTATACTGATAAGCTCAAGACATTTAAACACGATTTATCTGTAATCAAAGCTGCACTGATTACTAAGCAATTTTAGTATCCATGATCCTTCAAATGCATAGCAGCATGGAAATTCTTTGACTGACATGTAAGCCACTATATATGGAGCATACACAGTTTCTTTGATTCATGAGTATATTTTGCATCTCTACAGATGGAATGAAACCCACAACTATAATTTCAACCCAGTCAAATCAGTAACTATTGTTCTTAACTTTCAAATTAATGTTGTCATTTTAGTTTTCAAGTAGAAATTCAATGTTTCTGTATTTAGAGATAATTGGGGAGTTTAGCTGTCAAAGTGTCTACAGTCATAGCGTCAAGGGTCTTCCACCTACATAAACAAATCTACAGAATAATTCATGATTTCTGGAATATCATTTGGCTGTACCCTGTGCTTCCAACCACAGAACGCTCTGAAGTTCACAAAACGTTTAACCATCTCATCTGTTATAACTAAGTTTTCAGTGCTGCTGATAATGGGGAATCTAGATTGTGAAATGCTTGTAATCTTGGACTCACTGCAATACACCTGCTGGCATGTTAAGCAACCAACAATAGCTTTCTTGAAGCAATAAATGAATGAAAATAAATATTCAAATATCTTTCCATTAACCCTTAAAGTCCTTCAAGCCTTTACACATGATCATCTTGATCACCAAGCCACCATGTATCCTTCAATTTCAATTATTCCACAGTTTCTTGTTCATAAATAGACATTCTTTTACTTCTTATGACACTCATTTGAGAAAAATCTTTTGAATTTTGTCCTCTTGTGTGCAGATTGCTTTTTCCTCAATTAGCAGTGTTCTGAAAAGCTAGTATGATTTGATCTACCTTAATTTTTTCCTCACGGTTCTTGCTGTAAGGTATCAACACAAATTGTCCTCATCAAGTGAGGCAAACCAGGATAAATAATCCCACCCACAGATTATACTGACTGATCTTTTTTGCGGTAGCCCACCAGTACCCACTTAGGCTTTCTTCAGCACTTTATCTTTGTCACGTTATTATAAAAATCCTTTATGCTAGTTCTTAATTGACTCTGATATTAAAATCAAGTGCATAATGCTGGCAAGAGGGATTTTCTAAAGATATACTGGGAATTACCTCTTACGTGGCCCCATAAAATTATCTATAAAGCCTTGTAGTGAATCAGCTGTGTCTTCAGATCATAAAGACAGAGGCCAGCTCTCAATGAAGTCAAATAAAACCATTTCTGGGCTAAGTATGCTCTTCTAATGATGAGTGGAATCTTTCAAAGCATATCATTTTGAGGTCTTCAGCTTTAGGACCTGAACACCTTATGAAGACTCAAACTCAAAAAAAAAAAAACGCAAGTGTTTAAGAATACAGACAATAAAGATACAGTTGTGGGTTTCAGTGAGTCTGTTCACAATTTGAACTGAATCAAGGCCTGAAACAAAGTTTTACTTTTTCCCCCACCATGCTATAGCTGCATTACTTGTGTCCCTACATTAGCACATTTTGTGATCCTAACACAGCAAGCTTATGTGGCATATCATGATGAAATACATGTAAATTAGTGTGTCTGCTCACCAAATTGCATCTGGGTACTCCGGTCACAAACTGAACTCCTTGACTTGCCAATATAATTCCAGTCAGGTTCATCACAAGACAGATGACAGACACCACAAGAAAAAAATTATTCTGGAATAGGAGAACAAAGTTAACAGCAGTAAGAACAGGTTCACAAACCCAACCCAAGGAACCTATGGCAGTGCAAATCCCACTCCCAAACTGAAATTGGGAATGACACTCCCCTTCTTTTCAAAACTCCTCGTGACTTCAGCACCCCAGGGTGTCTTATTTTAACCCAGTAGATGGTTACTCCAAACACCTTTGTCTTCTCTCTCTCTCTCCTTATTCTGCACTAGATGTGCAGCAATAAAACACATGCAACTATTGAAAAGTACAGGCAGTCATAGTGGAGTGCAAAGTACGATTTGCAAGCTGCTTGACTTCCATTGTATGTCATATTCTTCCACTGAGTTTACCTCTCTACCTATTTATATCAGTAAGAAACCTGAAGAGGAAATATCCTAAGACAACATTCATTTTGCATAGGATTTCCAGAACTATTTTGCAACACAAATAAATTAGAAATATTTGTCCTGGTACAGTGAGAACAGACACTTCAGGGACTTCTCTTTTATGGTTTTATCTCCTCCTGACTACTAAAACCAGAACACCTCCATTCATAAATCAGACAATACATATATAAAGCACCTGAAAGATCAGAATAGGCAGGAATAATAGAGTACTTGAAAAAGGACAAGCAGAACCAGTAGATAAAATGAAATTTTACTTTCACATATGCCCTTACAATCTGCAATCTGTGCTTACATGAGACTTGGGATATGGACTTTAAACACATGTAAGAACTTTTTCTGTCTAAATTCACACATGCAGAATTTTTCAGTATTTCAGGAGAGAGTACTATGGGTAAGACTACTAGCTTAGGGACAGGTAAAAATGAGATTCCTCTCCTGTCATGTTTAAATTCTAAGCACTCAAACCTACAAAGCAAATATCAGGTCTTTAATGTCCAGAAGAATCCTTGTTAATAACAATTTGCTCACTCCGATTCCTTTGTATCAAAATGGCCTACATCAAAAATGCATGAGATGACAAAAAGCTGAGGAAGAGAATGAAATAATGAGTGACACAGGCTCGGTTCTGCTCCAGATAGCTTTACAGAAGATCCAGCAACAAGGACTTCCTAAACATGCACAAAGACAGCAATCACTTTCCAAATTAATTTAGCTGACATACCATGGTTAGCTACCTAGGAAGCTGGGCAAAAAGTAAATCAGAGCTGTTGCACCAGTCATGATCCCGTTTACCAAGGCTCACGGAAAAAGTAATCACCCTTGAATGGACAAGGGCCAAAGAACATTACTGTGTGAGCTCATCCCTTAAATAACAACATTTCTTTATGAGTAGGCTTTACAGAAGCTTGATCATAACATTATCACATAAGGTAGGTTTTAATCTAAAAAAATCCAGTAATTAAAATAGTTATTAGTACTCGCCTGAAGAGGATTGGGACTACTTTGTGGTTGACATAGTGCGAACAATCAATGTTAAGAGGAACAGTATTTTCTCCTAGCTTTATGTTAGTAAACACTTTGAATGCCATTTGTTATTCTGTACAAATGCAAATTCAGTATTTTTTTTTTTAAATTAACCCATTTCTCAGCACTCAAATGAATCAATACTATTTCTTTTGCTTTTATCTGAATTATCTCAATTACCCTTTTGATTAAAACTACTTTGAGAAAAAGAAAATTGGTAGACAAAGGTTTTTCATTCAAGGAAAGCCATTCATTTGTATATAACACAGAGCACTGTCAACTAGTTTTAGCTCATTTTAGAAGTGAAATAGAAGCTGTTTCAGCATAAAACATCTTTGTAGTACAAATCTCAAGAAACTATATCAAGGAAAACAAGAAGTACATTTGTTTTCTTTCTAAATGAAGAAATGGAGTTACTGAGCAAAGTAGTTACTTGGCCAAATAATAAGTCAAGAAAAGTTTATTTAAAAAAAAAAAAAAAAAAAAGAGGAAAGGCAATTTCAAAATTAGTTTTCTCCTTTGGTACAGAGGCTGCAATAGAAACAATCCAGTATACAGCTAAATACCAAATTATATATAAAATCCAGGCTCCTAATGTACTGGTCTACAAAATCTTAAATAAAATTCACACAGATTTTTCTAAAGAAACATGTTAAAAATCAAAGAAAAAGGAAGAAAAGGAACATTATTAAAAATATGCAAAACAATTATGATAATGTCTACATTTATGTTCTAATAAATTCTACCAGAGAAAAATGAAATCTTGATCTGTTGTTTTTAGGTGTTTTTTTCTATGTATAGTCTATTTTTAACTGCATAACCTAGTATTCAGACAATCCTACTGAAGAGGCAGAAGATAAAAGTAATTCTTCTACGTATGTTCTAAAAAACTACCATGATCTGAACCATAACCATAATAATTGCTACTACCTGGCCAATAGTGGACAAGAGAATATATTATACTTCAGTGTCAAGAGAAAAAAATCCTTTTTCTTTCTGCTCCACTACTGGCCAGCATTTTCACAGAATCAGAGGTTGGAAGGGACCTCTTGAGACCATGTAGTCCAATCCCCTGCTCAAGCAGGGTCATCTACAGCAGGTTGCTGAAGACCATGTCCAGGTGGTTTTGAGTATCTCTACTGATGGATACTTCACAACACCTCTGGGTAACCTACACACTTATATCCATTTATGTTTCACACATATACTTTATAAACATCCTTCTAGGAAAAGGCAACTCAATGTATTAGCTTTCCATATGCACAGTAACAACAGCAATAATTAAACATTAATTATGGGACCTTACTGATTTTTCTGACAGTTGTGAGAGCTATTTATATACCATGTGGAGACCTGTAACACAACTGTCAACCAAAAAAAAACCACACAGAAATAAAAGACAAACCAGTTCATACAATTAAAAAGTCACATACTTCAAACCTTCAAATAGAGCATTAAAACATCCCATATGAATGAGAGAAAAGCCTTTGCAACATAAAAATCAATTATTAAGAAAATCAGGAGAGTCTTGACTTTGACCTGATTGCAAAGACTTTGTATGAATACTATTTATTGACTTAATGGTGAAGACCTGCCTGTGAGCCAAGAAGTTAACACAGAGCTCTTTTACTTCTAAAATCCAGACAAACAAGCACTACTACAGAAATTCTCACCCAAGCAATTCTCATCAAAGCCAAATGACTTTGCTTTTAATGAAGCACATGGATAGGGAGAGATTTTTTTTACAGGGTTACGGTCATGATATGCAGCTTATGTTTGGTCCTTTATATTGTTACTAGCAGAGCTAAAATTGAAGAATGTCACTGCATTAGCACCAGAACTAAGTATTTTGGTCTAACCATTACATTTTGGTTAAATCTATGCAAATTAGTCAAGGTGCAGATATCAAGAAGGTGGTAGCTAGCTCTAAATATTTGTTTTAAATCTTCTGGGATGTATTTTTCTTCCAATAAAACTTTTCAATTAAATATAAGCTTTACTGTAAATTTATTCTTCATAAATGTTCAAGGCTTCAAATAAATATTTGAATTCCACAAACTTTTCTGTTTTCCAATGAAGACCTGTAAATTTTTGTCATAAAACCAAAAATAATAACACTTTGGCATTTAAAAAAATTAAGTTTCTAGTAAAAATTTCAGATCATTATGTTACCACACTGTAAACCATGAGAAGAATGTGGATTGAAGGACTCATGCTGAACATGCAACTTGGGGTTTTCTAAGTCAAACCCCACAAACCTTTACACAAAAGCTTACAACATGCACGAACACAAAAGCTGGCACGCTAGCTAACAGCAGAACCATGAAGCACTTGGTGTAGCTGAAAACCAGGCTTGCATTCACCCAGCCTGCATCCGCTCTGTTAAGTCCTTGATCCTCTGCATTTGCAGATACCAAACTGCTGCATGGCACCTGCAGCTGACGCAGTTACACTCTACCCAGCTCACACTCCTGTCGCTTTTCATGCGGTCACAGATAAATCTTCTTTTTAGAGGCAGAATCCAAGCACCAAGCAGTCACCAGAGATATGCCCAACTTGAAGTCTTTATTACAGTTGGTGGGGAAAAAAAAACAAAAACAAAAACCAAAAAAACAACAAACAAGCAAACAAAAAAACCCCACAACCAGAAAGCCTCTTACAATGCACACTCCACAAGATTGCAACCAAGTTGTACGTGACCGTAAAGGAAAGGATGCTTCACTAGCACAATGTTCAGAAAAGCACGTATGGCTCCTGGGAACACAACATGAACTCACAGTGTTGGCTACCAGTCCAAACTGGTATACAAGTGAGGACAGATGCTAATATAGCAAGCACGGCCTATCGAAGATATGAATTGCCCTCATTGCATACGCAATCAAACAGACAATGTGAAATTGGTATATTTTCTGAAAGAAGTTAGGTTCCTTCAGTTAAAAATAAGATTTAAAGACCTTTGAAAGGAAGGACTTTAGGACCAGTGAGGACGGAACCAGCTTCTATACAAGTAGGGAATAACGTCAAGCCTGGAACAGTTGAGAGTCAATACCCAAACAAATTGGTGGGGGACGGGGTGGTGCAGAAGTTTGGGGAAGTTTCCTTCTCCCCATTAAGTAAATTCAGACAGGCATGCACAGGAAGAAGCTTCTTCTCTGGAATAAAAATCAGCTTCGGAGCGTAAGCATTACAAGCTGATTTCCAGAGTTGATTGACAACTGATACCCAGAAGAGAAAAGCCTCAGACACCTAAAAGCAAGGTAAGATTTCAAGAGCCAAGGCTAACCAGCATCTTCACTGGTGAAAGCCAAGCCTCTCCTGCAAGAATGTCCTTCAAAGGGTATGATTATAATTTGATTTTGCCTTGCAGTACCCTGTCTCTGGGACCTATTATTTACCTAATATCTTCACCCACTGAAATACAACCTGGGTGGCAAAACACAACAGATGCGGCTCTCGATTTTATTCACTAACAAGCCTTACCACAGCCATCTCTATTCAAGGCTGGTTTCCTCTCATAGATGGTGCTACTAAAGGTCCACTACAGCTGTATTAATGGGTTTCTCTTCCTTTCTTCCCCAGCGGGAAAAACATGAACAACCGAATCACAGCAGTCCTCTCTGCCCTTGAGACTGGAGGCTGTCCCCAGCTTCTTTCTCAGGACATGGCAGCCCCATGCTTTCTCCAAGCCCATATCTTGCCATCACAGGAAAAACAATCACCAGCTAGGTTGGTTTTGCCCATGACTAAGGCCTCGGATTGAAGTAGCTGCCATAGGACAGCCTGGCCATCCACAAAGAAACAAACCCAGGCAGTGAGGAATCATCACCTAAAGGGTCAAGATGGTGAGAAAAGTTTTTCACCCTTTTACTGAAGGAGCTAGACTGCTGCCATGTAGAGGAGCTGCTGTCAAATGGGTGTACTCCAGCAGATTACAGAGATTAAAATCCTGATTTAGAGTAGCAAACAGGTTTCTTCTAGAAAGAATTAGTATTTATAAAGGGGGCAAATATAAGTGTGAATTGCATTACGAAATTACTTAAGTACTGCAAACTGACAATCAAAAACAAAATATAAGTTAATACCGGAAGCCTCAAGAAAGAGCATTACCATGTTCTTAAGCATAAACCATACCACACACTGCCCTGAGGGCCAGCACCTCCTGACGGACAAATTGCGTGGCGCTCACCAGTCACCATAACTCTGTTCAAGACCCATCTCTGCGGAGGAGAAGGCTAAATGATGGGGCTCAACCATGAACCCTTGCTTACAGTCTAATTACTACATCTGAGAGCTTTTAGTACACACCATGAAAAATTAAAATCTAGATATAATTACCCAACTTGGTCTGAAAACAAAGCTATTCTGGGGGGGGGGGTTGGTGCATATGAAGAACTCCAGGGGGTTAGCTGCACAACTTGAAGAAATTACGAAACTGAACTGAGTGACTGAAAACAGCCCTGCATAAAAAGAAAGATGGGAAAAGGCCCTTCCTTATGAACAAGAGGGCATCTGTCAACTGAGACATAACTACATATGAAAAAGAATAACAACCACTTAATCTCACAAACTTTACACCTTAACTGTTGAGCACAGGCCAAAGTCTCTGCATGAAGACACCTAAAAGCTGACATAAGTTGCTGCAGTATAAAACATGGTAACCGATATCACTCCTCAGATTTCTGGCATAGCTCTAGCACAGGTAAATATCTGGGTTCGATAGCCATCTTATAAAGCCACCTTCATGTGCAATCAGTCCTGTCCACAAAGCTCACTTGCTGCATAAAGGCACCTCTGTGCCTGGCACCTGCTCGAGTCAAGGGCTGTCTGGGAGGCAGCTGTGCGATCCCTGCTGCCTTCACAGCCGGGAGGCAGCTCAGCGCGGGCAAGGGTAAAGGGGTTCAGTCGAAAAGTCAGGAGAGAGGAATCCGTTAGAAGTATGTTTACAAGAAATAGGTGCAAAGGGCCTCGCCTAAGGAGGAAAAAGGGGAAGGCAGTCACAGCTGGAACAGGGACACGTTTTAGCTCTGAATGCATCTTACAGTTTCACCTGTGAATGTCATAACTCTAAGCCATGGCTGAATAAGGAGTGTCATTGCTTATGTATTTAGGAAACTTGCTCTTACAACTCATACAACTCCTCATAACTCCCAAGAGAAAATGTTCAAGTTACTAGAGGGTAAAAATATTAGAAACTAGAAACTTAACCCAAAATAAATATGCTCGCAGAAACTAACAACTTGTCCTCGATAGACTGTAGCTAGTTCAGTGCATGATTTCTTTAGCCTCATGAAATATTTAATGATACTTTCCTTTTTTTTGAGTTTAGAGTAGAACTGTTCAGTTGGAAGGGACCTACAATGATCATTTAGTCCAGCTGCCTGACTACTTCAGGGCTGACCAAAAGTCAAACCATATCAAGGGCATTGTCCAAATGCCTCTTAAACACTGACAAGCATGTGTCACTGGCCACATCTCTAGGAAGCCTGTTCCAGGGTTTGAGCACCCTCTCAGTAATGAAGTGTTTCCTAATGTCAAGTCTGATCTAATCTGGCTTTCAAAAAAACAGACCTCTATAAAATACACATGCAAATAAGAAAAAAAAAAAAAGTCTATAGAATCACATAATCATTTAGTAATTGTGGGTGCAAGGGAACTCAGGAAGACTCTAGCTCAAAGCAGAGTCAGCTATGAGATCATAGCAGGCTGCTCAGGGTTTTAATCACCCTTGTCTTAGAAACTTCCCCATCTGCTGCACCACTTCCCTGGTCAAACTGCTCCAGCCCTTGACCATCCTATATATCATTTGGTACAAATTAAAATCTCAGGAAGAGTTTAGTGCTTTCATATTCAGGTAAAACTAGAAAAGGCCCATAAATTTTATGCAAAGGAGAAAAGTGAAAGAGCAATGACACACAAAGGGAAACTACAGCAACAACATGCTGTAACAACAGCAGAGAGCACGGGCAATATAGAAACAGTGAGCACTGTGAAAGCCTCAGGTATTTTGAGACAGGTGTCATTTACATTTGTTTTCATGAAAATATGGTCCTTCTAGACTGGGAGCCCCAGATATCAAGCTCTTCTTTTTATCAACAGAGTTGGTAAAATACTTGCTTTGCTCTGCCTGTGCTAACGAGTGCACCACTGAGAAATGGCAATTCATCCACAGCTCACACATCTGATCATTAGTACGTCTCACTTACCAACCATGAGGATCGTGAAAAAGTGCTGCATAAAAACTGAACAACTGTTTTGGCCTGGAAAAAGGTCTTCAGAAGTGACAGTAAGGGAAGAGGAAAAAACCAAAACAAAACAAAAGACAAACAAAATAACACTTCAAAAGCTTTTTTTTTCAAATCCCAACTCAGACATTGAGAGCTACACAGCTTCAGGTTTCACTTAGAAACAGCTTACACACCCCACACAATTTACTTCACTGAGAGTAATGTAATGTCAACTGTATTTGAAACTAACACTGGATACATACTGTAATACGTCAATACTTAGGTTAGCTCTCAAACCTCCTGTCAGACAGTAAAATAGTACAACTGAGCTAAGCTTTAAAATCAACTCCCCCGTTTAAGCTTAAGCAGCACTGCCTCAGAGAGCTAAATTATTTATACTAAACCAGCACTTTCTTATACTGACACAAACATAAGAAGTGCTCTGTAAACAACATTAACACTTCTTCCAGATGTGGTCCACTCTTGTCCTTAACAGGGACTCCATCCATGCAAAAAAGAATATAGCCTTTCACAGGCTTTGATTCTTCTTTCAGTAATTATGATTCTACAGTTAAAAAAAAAAAAAAAAAAAAAAGAGAGAGACTCAACAGTATAGTCTATTTTTTCAAGGAGAAAGAAGGGATTTGTGACTATTTTTTTACTAATGACTATTAAATCCAGATCATCTTCTGATAATTTCCTTACAGTAAATTTTAATCCATACTTACCAAACACTTATTCCCTCTCCTCCATTTCAGTAAGCCCAGGATTCCACATAAAATTACCTACAATAAAAACCATAGAATCACCAAAAAGCAAATAACTGCTCACAAAATGTCATTTACATGGTATTTATCACTCTCTGAAGAAAGGTACTTTGGAACACAACCATGATGCTGGGAAGGTATGAAGATACACTTTAAGGCAGAGAAGATCCTGGGCTGATGAGGTTCTTCACTCTTAAGAGCATCCTGTGAAATAACACAACCAAATTTTAATCTGGTGTTTTCTTATTTTTTGCTCCCAGAAAATGTGGATGGGGACAAGATTTATGCCAGCAACTCTGACCTCAACAACTGTCTAAAGAATTACCTTCAGCCAACTGAGTGCTTGTTTTCTGCAACATGGCTAAACAAATCTAAAAACTGGCTCACTCTCCTCCATCCTCTGTCACCACACAATCACTTCATTATGGGCCTGCCTCTTCCCTTGTGCTGACTCTGGCTCCGTCCTGACCACCTCAGTGAACTAAATCCCAGAGCATGAAACCTACCGATCCCCCTGAGCTGGCTTGCTATTTAGTCAGACGAATGCCAGTATTAGCACGAGGAAAGAAGAGAAAGTAAAAGCATCCTCTTCTGCAGTAGTCGTTAGACTAGACTTGCCAAATCACAGAACTGAACCCTATGACTCTTCACCTTAGAGGGCAAAACAGTTAAGGATGGAGAAAGTATTACTGTAGAACTGAAGCAAATAGCATACCCAAATACTCTCGCAGTAAGTATGGGAATCCTATAAAGAAAGGCAAATCAGTTTTTCTGCAGGTCCCGCAAATAAGCAGATATATTTTTAATTTGTGTGACTTTGTAACTAAGCCAATTCACATCAAACTCCTACCCTAAAAAGAAACAAGACCACCAGAACAAACAGGATGTTGCCCACTAGCTTTTTTAATAAATCCCTTCTGTAACTTCATTCACTTGACATGATCAATCTGATCTGGTGTAATGTGCATATAAGACTTGGCCTAACCACCTACTGATATCATCACTAGTGTTGCAAAACCACATATATAACTCTGCAGTTTCATAACAAATTATTTTTTGAATTCTGGGAGTGCAAATGGTCACATTATTTTATAACAAAGCACATAAGTACTGAATTGCTTTGCCTTAATGACAACAAGACTTACTTCATTATGTTTGTTATAGCTTTAAGATATGTGAAAAGAGAGTTTTTCTCAAAGTTTTCCTGATCTGCACTTAACCAGTGCATCATAATCAGGATGTTACATTTAAAATGAAAAAAAAAAAAACCAAAACAAAACAAAAAACCAACCAACAACCAACCAAACAAACAAACAAAACCACCAAAATAAAACGAACCAAACAAAAAAACCCAAACAGACATATCCTCAATTCCGGCTTTTAATTGCCTCTACCTTTCCAGGTTGCTCCTGTGTGACAATTTTCACTCATGCTGTTACACCTGAAAGGCATTTTTGGTAACTTTTTTGGCTGAACATATTACTGTTTCAGAGCTAGTATGGAAAAAAAAAAAAAATCTTCATTATTAAAGAGACTGAATATTTCAATTTTACACGAGCAATTTTAAAACATTCTAAAAGCATTGTCATGGTTTGAGCTCGGAGGGCAACTGAGCACCACAGCTGCTCTCTGCCCACTTCCCTGTCAATGATGGGAAGGAGAAATTCAAGCAAAAGGCTCCAGAATTGAGACAGAACTGTGAGGCATGGCTCACCCATTATGGTCATGGGCAAAAGACAGACTCCTTAGGGGAAGAAAAAACATAAATTTAATACAGACACTAACAAGAACAACACTTAACAGACAGAGTAGGACAGTGAGAAGCATTGCCACATCTTGAGAACACCTTCCCCCCACCCCTCCCTTCTTCCCGGGCTCAGCTCTGCTCCCGATATCTCTACCTCCTCCCCCAGTGGCGCAGGGGCAGGGAATGGGGGGGGCAGTCAGTGCTGCCATCCTTCTTGGGGATGGAGGGTTGGGGAGTGGAATTTATGTCATTCTCCCCACTGCTCCGGTGTGGTCCCCCTCTGATGAGACACAGTCCTCCAGAAACTTTCTCTGATGTGAGTCCCCCCCACAGGCTGCAGCCCTTCCCGAGCTGCTCCGGCATGGGACACCCCCGCATGCTGCAATCCTCCCAGCACTGAATTACAGCAGCGGGGCTACCTTTTCCCACAGGGTCCTGTCTGGCTTCGGGCACAGCCGCCGGCTATGGTGGGGGCTCCTCCACAGGTCACAGAATCTGCTCCACCAGTGACCTCTGTGTGTGCCAGGGGGCCGCCCTGCCCTCTCACCGGGGATACAGGGGAGCTCTCTGCACCAGCACACCTCCCCCTCTCCCATCCCCTCCTTCCTTCCACTGACCTTAGTGTTCGCACAGGTGTCCTCCACACAGCTCCCACTCCTCCTCCCAGGTTCCCATTCCTAAATATGTTATGTCAGAGGCACAGACACCGTCTCTAATTGACTCGGCCCTGGCCAGATGTGGGTCTGACTTGGAGCCAGAGGAGCTTTGAGAAGCTTCTCACAGGGGCCATCCCTGTCGCCCCCTCCCCTGCTAACAAAAACCCTGCCATACACACAAATCCAGCATATGCATAAGCATGGTTCATGTGCAGGGTTCAAAGAAAGTCTTTAGTTTACATATATGTGAACTTATTTTAATCCAGGGTAAGGGAAAGAAAAAAAAAAAAAAAAAAAAAAAAAGAATGAGATACCAAACATACACATTTGAATTGTCTGGGTTCCCTTCCCTCCCACCCCCCTGTAAAAGCAGTCTGTACTTTAAGGGATGACCATTGCATTATACACTACAAATAGGAACCACCCGATCCCTGCAGATCAGTGAGCACATTTCCACAGGTTATGAACAACATTACAAACGTAATTTACGTGTTTAACCCGAGTGATAGGCCAATACTCTTCACCCTAGTGGCAGAGAAGAGCGTGCCAGCCACAGAACAAGACTTGCTCAAGGGGCCACAAACTGGGTACAATCTATCTATCTCCTACTTCTGTTAACATCTCCTCACTTCTGCAATGCAGACTATTATATATTCTGTATTTATAAAGGTGCAGTTTAAAGCAGGGCACAACAAGAGATAGAGTAACTTCTCTTGGGGTACTACAAAACTGTCAATAAGCCCACCCACTTTTTTCCCAAGGAACGTAGCTATTTTCTCTCTCACTAGAGTAACAATATACGATGCACAAAAGCAATATACAACATCGACATATGCCACGACTTGAGAAAATCCTGTTTCTGACTATATATAATAATTGAGTACTTATTTTTAAGCTAAAAGGCACACCACGAAACAAAATCCCCAGCCTAGCTGTCCCTACACTTGTTATCCTGTTCATGCTGCCACCCTGGTAAAACTGGTGGCAAAAGCGCAACTGCAAGTTATTTCTGCACCCCCCCCGGCTCCCCAGGAGAGAGCTCCCTCTTCGCTGCTACCGAAGCGGGAGCAAACGTTCCTCGGCGACAAGCAGCCGCTCTGTCGTGGGGGCTCCGCGCAGTCCGCGCTTAACCTTAGGACGGCGCGCACGGCCGGCGGGGCTCCCCAGCGCCCGGTGGGCACCGCGAACGGCCGCTGCCCCCCGCGTCCCGGCTCCGCGCCGGCCGGGGCGGGCGCGGGTGGGCACACCCGGGTGGGGCTCCGCGACCGTGACTTACCGAGGGTCCGGTCCAGAGGGGACAGGCGGTCTTCACCTGCGGGGTGCTGCTCTGCGACGCGGCGTAGAAGCTCAGCGCCGCCTGAAAGCAGCCCAGGACGACCTCCAGCACCTCGATCACGACCAGCTGCTGGGACGACAGGATGGCGGCGCCCGGCTCCGGCTCGGCGAAGCGGCGCGGGTTGCCGGTCCACGGCGAGAGGAGGCGACGGCACCGCGAGCGCAGCGGCCACGTCGAGGGGGCGGCGGCGGACCGCGAGCCCTCCGCCGCCGATGTGCCGGGGAAGGTGGCCAGACACCCGTCCGGTGTGCCGGCGGAGTTGCCCGGATTCCCCCGCGATGTGCCCGCCGGTGTGCCGGCAGTGGTGGCCAGACACCCGTCCGGTGTGCCGGCAGTGGTGGCCAGACACCCCTCCGGTGTGCCGGCGGAGGTGGCCGGATTCCCCCCCGATGTGCCCGCCGGTGTGCCGGCAGTGGTGGCCAGACACCCGTCCGGTGTGCCGGCGGTGGTGGCCAGACACCCGTCCGGTGTGCCGGCGGAGTTGCCCGGATTCCCCCGCGATGTGCCCGCCGGTGTGCCGGCAGTGGTGGCCAGACACCCGTCCGGTGTGCCGGCGGAGTTGCCCGGAGCCCCCGCCGCCTGGGGTGGTGGGGCAGCTCCCGGGACGGGGCAGCAGGAGCCCGGCAGGGTTTGGGGGGCCGGCGGCGGCGGTTCCTCTCTGCCGGCGGCAGCCGCGCCGGGCCCGGCCGGCCCTTCGCCGCTCCCGCCCAAGCCCACCCGGGAGCCGACAGCCTGCGGAGCTGCTGTCCCCTCTCCTTTCCCCGCCACCCCCTCGCCGGCCCTGCCCGGAGCCTCCGGCTGCCCCCCGGGGCTAGCGGCCGGCCGGCCGCCGCGCCGCTCCCCCGCCGCCCCGCCGGGCGATGCCGGGGGCTGCCCCGCGGCCGGCAAAGTGTCCGCAGCGCGGAGCCCCGCCTGCCCCCCGGCCCCCGGCCCGCCGGCCTGCCGCCCCACGCCGGGGTCCGCCGGCCGCAGAGCCATGCCACCTCGTCCCGGGTGGGATGCCGCGACCGCTGCTCCGACACAGACCCTTCCCTTTGTACTAGTCCGGGCAGGGGTTGCCCCACCCCTTATTAACGTAGGCCTTTCCTCCGTTGCCCTTTTTCCTTTGATCACTGTTGTTACCGATCGGTAACCATGAAATTTGAAAATAGCTCTTTCTGGGGGGGGGGTGAGGGTGCTGGCGGGGGGCAACCGACGGGATTGTATTTCCTATTGCTGGCGTCCTTCACAAGACGAGGAGGTTTCAGAGACAAAACTTTAACGGTATCATGTCTTCTAAACAAAGATAAGGGCAAAGGAACCCCTTTATCCGGTGGCGTTCCTTTTGTTCCCTTTTCCTCCTTCTATCTGTTCCCTGGGAAAATCTTGCCGTGACCATGGTCTATCTTTCTCTTGCACTTGATGTGCTCCAAGGAAGGAGGGTCAGGAATTTACTTCAGCCGTGTGTGCTGCTCTCTCCAGCTCAGCCAAAGCGATTTTATATCTGCTGGTCTTGTCTGGACATGTCTTCAAAAAAACAAAGAATCTTGGACGTGAAAAATTGAGCTTTAAGTACTGTAAGAAAATAAGCTGTGTTAAAGGTGTCACTGGCTTGGATGACAGCACTTGCTCCTCTACAGAAGAAGGTGCAGATCCAGCACTAGGGAAAGGATTTCAAAACTGTGTCACAATAATGCATAAGGTCTTATACAAAGAAAGGAAAAGATCCATCCTTAGAGAGTCTGCTTTCAGAATTACATCTTGCATGTATCTCTGTTGATTTTCTACCTTAAGATTCAGGATTTAGAGCACTCCTTACCAAAATAAACCAAAATTACTTGCCACCCTGGATCACCATCTTTCAGTCAAGCTCTCACAAATCAACCTTTATGCCAGGGTTTATGGACCAGGGTTGGGAGCAATAGATTTCAACACCCAAGACTGCATAAGAAGGCTGCACGAGTGCTACTGCCTTTGCATATGACTATATGCCCTTCCCAGTCTTTAACACAGCCATTAATTATTAAACATGTAACTTTAACCATGGGACTGAAGACTATCATACACATGCTAATTTACAAGACACTTTCTATGATTTTGCCTTTTATTCTATCTGCAATTGTGGATACTGTAAGTCTGATGAAACTTCAATAATACCAAGCCACTGGAAAATGCTATGTCCATATATTTCAGGGCTTTAGAGTAGTTGTCCCAGTCTTAGCTTGCCAAATCCACAAGACGCAGCCAAGTATAAAAGATGCTTCATCAGATTTCAGCCCTAATCAACTAGCAGCTTACTTGTAACAACTAGAAACAGGGTATCTGCACTTCATCTTTTGAATGGAAGAGAGAAAATGTCATTCTTCAGTGTCCAAACCTGTTTCCAGTTATAAACATTTAGGAGCAATTAGGAGAAAGCTAACTACCATTTACATATGCACGATGAAGTTTTTTATACACCCATACAAGCATTTGCCAGTGTTTGCTGACAACAGACTTCATGGCATCAGATCTCATTTGCTGTGGCACCTCCTCAACTCTTGGCATTAATGATTAAATACCTTATAATTAGGAACAAACATTTGACAGATCAAGCATATTAGTTATGTGCTAACATCGTTTCTTCTATTTATTTTAAAGCAAGTAACTTTTCTACCAGAACATATGTAACAGAACGACTTTTTAGGCCTACTATTTCTGAAGAAAATTTAAAAGGATTGCCTGCTTGTCTACTTTCTTGTAGGGATTATATTTTTACTCTTTGTTATTTGACAGATGCAATTCTGAGAATTTCATTGCTTAACAGCGTCATCATATGAATGAACAAAATGGTGACATTCATCAGCTTCTGCTTTTCTGTCTTTTGTGGAAGCAACAGCACCCTTCTTAGGTCTGTGCGATGGTGATCATAGTTATTTTTCTCTCTCATACAGAGCTCTAGCTTCCTTTAAATCAATAGGGAGATACTGTCATATCTGCTCAGAAGCCAGCAGAAAAGTTTGTAAAATACTTTGCATATGGTTATCTACTGTGTAAATATAAGTACACTCCCCCCCTCCCAATTATCCAAGATATTTGAACATTAGATGTAACGCTTGACTTGTCACATACATACTCATATTTAAACAGCTATGACAGTTGCAAATAAATGGAAACAAAACATATGCTAGGTGGGAAAACTTCATACACATGCTTGAAAATATATACACTTAAGAGAAAATAGAGTTCTAACAAATAAACTGATTTCTTTTCATGGGAAAAAGGGTATCACTGCTTGTAATGTTGCTCCAAGTGAACCAGTGTGATTTCTGGTTGGTGAAAGCAGTGTCATTTTTTCATTCCTACTTTTACACTAAGGCAAAGTAACTTAAGATTTATACTGACCTGTTCTCCTTTAATACTTTACCACTGTCTACAGATTTCTGTTCACTTGTGACATAACTTGTCTCTTTAATGTTATTCTTTATTCTGGTTTATCCTGGTTTAGGTTTTTAAGAGATCAATTATTTGCTCTAACAGAAGGAAGTAGTATTTCTAATACAATCACTATTAATAATTTTATGCATTCACCGTTCACTTGTCAGCTGGTGCTGTTTATGTCCTCAAGTCTAAGAAATAATAGTATGTCTAGTATAAAACATTAAATCAGATTTTGTACTTTTAATAATGAGAGTCCATGGCAGTGGTGTTTATTTCTCCTTAAACATATGGAAACACACATGTTCAAATTCAGTGAAGAATTCATTTTCATGTTATCTAAAAATTAGAGATTTTATTAAATAAAAAAGCTATCATGGAAATAAATCTTAGAGCTGTAAGAGAATTTTCTATAATGGTTTTTGGTTTTTCTCTAAACACTTCGTCTGAGCAAGAATTTGTCCACTTTATTCATATGCAGATAATATTGGCTTTTACAAAATCATAATGTGGTCCGTGGTTGATCCTTGTTTACTCAGTGCACCAGCTTAAGACCCCACTTTGTGTAAAAAATAACCAAACTAAGTTACAAAATATTTCTTAGTTAATATAATTTTATACTTTTAAGTGTCTGAATAGACAAGGAGAAAAAGAACAGTAAACATTTTTTTTTATAACCTATCATGGACCCCACTATCCATGAGCATGCCACAATAGAACACAGTTCACTGAAACTGTGATTTTATAGATAACCAATTATTTTATATGACTGGTAGTCTTAAAAAAACAATGCCTTTAACAATTACCAAAAGCTGAGATGCTATCCTGTATAGACATACTGAAGTATCAGAAAGTTAATAGCCACATGTAAAGATCTTATGTTAGTTTTTTAAAAAGTTTTGCATGCCTACCCTTCAAGAATCTGCTCTGAAGATCTCCTAAATCTGATTGAAACATTTAAATATTTTACACAAACTCCAACAGGGGGAACATATTAGCAACTTTTCAAACTACTACTGTTATATTCTGTTTTCAGCATTGTGTCTTTGCTGGTCTCTGCTGAGGATTGCATTGCAATGTAGTGACAGTAAACATAAATGTATTCTATTATTAGAGCAAGAAAACTAAATCCTGCTTCAGAAAAACAAAACAAAACTAATAAAAAATAAACAAACTCCAAACAAATAAACAATCAAATAAAACAAAAAACAAACACAACCCCTCTCCCTCCCCACCCTCCCAAAAAAAAAAAAACCACACAAAAAAACCCCATGAAAACAGAGCACTATATATTTTGCAGGACCACGTTCAGGACAAGAGACCAAAAGTTTCTGAAATATGCCCATATGAAAACTCAAAATCAACAAATGTCAAACTCAGGAGCATGAACTTGTCTTTAAACACTAAAACATCCTTTTGAATACTTTAGCAGTTGTTTTTCATGCTGCATCAGCCACATGGTGTAATGACATTTAACTGCAACACGTGTATGGTGGCAATACAAGATTTTAGTTGCTAAGAGTTTTCTACAGAAGTTTCTGTCAGGAACTTGGCCTTTGCTGTCTGTCTTACACATCTCTTGAAGCCACCATCAAAAGGCACCTTATAGATCTTATTTTTTTTTGATCTTTTGACACAGAAAAACCTTTTTGAATTCATGCCTCTACAACAAACCAAACCAAACCAAACCAAACCAATCCAAACCAAACCAAACCAAACCAAACCATACCAAACCAAACCAAACCAAACCAAACCAAAACAAAACAAACCATGAAACATCTACATTAGCACCTTTTCTCTCTTCCCAGCCCTCATTTTTAGGGAGGGTGGGGAAGGAAGCAAAAGTCAGTAGTTGGTTACGGCTAAACAATGTAATGCTTTAAAAGTAAAGCCTTATTTATTACCTACCCAGACTAGAGACCCTCAAATCAGTGTACCTATGACAAACTTAGCAAAGTCCCTGTCAACAAGGAAGCAAACTAAAGAGACATGTACTTTATGGAATCTCTGAGGACTAGATTTAAGACTCATTTACAGCCATCAGGGACCTGAGGAGAAGTGTTCACATTGACTGGAGGAATTACAGAACTTCCCCATTTTTGTCCCAGTACAGAGAGGGAATCAGCTTGCTTCCTGGCATGAGGATACTTTTTCCCCTATATGAGGAAGTTCGAGCTGTCCTGTTGACATGAGGTTGACTGAGTGGCAAATTTGATGGATGGTATTAACTATTTACCTAGTCAGCATCCTAAATAAATTTTGCACTTCAGAAATGCAAAGGTAGAATTCTGACCCAATGAATTTGCAATGAAACCCAGAAAATGGCTGTGACTATTATAGATGACCTGGTAGCTGGAGTACACAGGAAAAAAGATTACAATGAGAAGGTGTCATTCACATGCTTTTGCTATAGCATGCGAAGCTAACAATGCATGTATAGTCAAAGGTATTAGTGACACAGCCTGGAGACAGTTTTATTATGTCATCTCACCTCAGTTTTGGCTCTTTGAAACTTTGTGAAACCTGTAATATCTTTTCACAGAGACTTAAAAAGAAGAAAGGTTAGCCTGAAAAATTGGATAAAAGAGAAGTTTTTAGACAGATTAAATAATAATAATGTACAGAATTCATTGATAACAATTAAATTCCCTTCAATCCCGATTAAAATCATACAAAGTAAATTTTTCTAAAACGACCTATCTCTCCCATGACATGTTTCATTACATGTGGTAGAAAATTTCAACATGTTCCTCAAAATCCTATCTGGCTTCAACTCAGACATACAAACTTCCGGCATCTTAAAACCTCTATCAGTACTCCTCTAGAAGCAGAAACAAAGTTGCACTATATATAGCACAACAGCTTTTACAAGCCACTCAGAAGAGATACTCTGAATCATCTGTCTCGTTTTTTCTTCCTAGTTTTTGTTAACATTGACAAGTCAGCTCAAATTCTGTACTTTGTTTGTTTTTTGGTTTTGTTTTTGTTTTTTTTTTTGTTTGTTTGTTTTTTGTTTGGTTTTTTTTTGTTTGTTTGTTTTTTTTTTTTTGTTTTGTTTTGTTTTGTTTTGTTTTTTGTTTTTTGTTTTTTTTTGTTTTAGTTGGAGCCTGGATGTTCAAGGCCTTGGTGTACGCATATGATGTCCTGCACTCTGTGGACATCTGCTCGGCAGGGACAGAGGGATCTCAGTCCCCCAGCTGCCTGGTGCAGATTGATAGAGGAATCTTAGTGCTCCTGAACAAAGCAGAAGGACTCCTGGGGATGTCAGAAGAAGAAGAAAAAAATCAGCATAAAGATGCATGTACTGTCTACATGACCAGAAAGGGAGGTGATGGATATTATGGTCCAAGCCACCTCTCATCTAGCCCTAAAAAAACCCAACCAAACAAACAAAAATACCCCCCAACAACAACAAAAAACCCCATACTAGTAAGTCTTTGG